ATTCAAATATATATATATATATATATTAAATTAAATATTTTTTTCACAATGTGTTAATTTTTATTTTATGTTTATATTTTTAAATTATTTAAAATATTAAAATATAAATATAATAAACTTACCTGATGCAACGTGTGTGGGTATTAGGCTAGTTACTCCTAAAAAATTAAAGTCCAATCAGTAATTATTAATTAATTTTCTGGTAATTCTCTGGCATGTGAATCGTGCAAATAATTACGATTGTAGAACTATGAACCCAAGCATATGAACGCATGCAAATAATTAGAATGAAATGTGTTAGCTGTGGTTTTCTTTTTTTGTGTTGACAATAATGAGTTTGAAGCTTTTGATACATACTAGTTGGATACTTATACTATGCTGCAATCGGACAACCGTTATATATGTAAAGTCAAATATTCGTATAATATAATATAGATAAAAATTTTATTTTTCGTAATTAATGTAAATTAAATTTATTTGCTAAGCAAATTGTTTGAGTTATATATATTTATTAACAAAATAATCAATAATATTAGCATAAAAAGTTATATTTGAATAATTGAAAGGTTCTCTCAAAACATTTTTTCAATTACTTTATTTAAAAATATTGATTTTATAACATAAAAAGAATAAATAAAAAATAATTGATGTCATGTGTGCGGATACATAATTAATTTTTAACAAAACTAATGATATATATTTCAATTATTTTATTTAAAAAATATTGATTTTAAAACATAAAAAAATAAATAACAAATAATTAGTGTTATATATGCGGATACATAATTAATTTTCAACAAACTAATAGATATATATATATATATATATATATATATATATATATATATATATATATATATATATATATATATATAAGTTGTATGAAATATATTAAAGTTAATAAATTGAAATAAAAGTCTGCTACAAAATTGGTTCCCATAAATTTTACCTCTTAATTCATGATGAAAGAGATTCTTGAACTACAAATTAAATTATAAATTGATTCATCTCGTTTTGAGAAATAAATAAATTAATTCTTTTAGTTTCAAAAATAAATTATTAAATTTTTTTAATTAGTGTTGACCATGAATAATTTATTTTTTATTCTATAAAATGTCTTCTTTTTTATATTTTTACTTAATTTTTATTATTTCTTTATTTTTAAAACAAAAAATAAGAACATTGAAATAGCAAAAAGGATATATAAAAAAAAAATTAGTTTTGAACCACAAGGACTAATTAATTTGTTTCTAGAAGAAAGAGAGACTAATTTATAATTGCTCTTGAATAGCAAGTGACTTTGGCTTCCTTGTCGAAAATAAGAAGAAAAAAATTGAAAGAAGACAGGAGCATTAAATGCTCAATCTGAAAATAAGCAGAAAATTACGAAAAAGGCCCAAAAATAAAATTAAAAAGAAAATCATTCAAGGGTAAAAATAAAGTGTCTCAAATCCATCGATTATCAAAAGAAAAATTAACAAAAAGGTAGGGCAAAAAAATCAAGCAACACAATGAATAATGAATCTAAGTCTAAAACAATAGTAAATAATAGTAAATAGCTCAATTCTTTTAATATTTGCCTACTAGTATATATTAAATTAAAAAAGATAAAAATTTTATTTCATTTCATAATTTTTAATTAAATTTTGTATTTCATTCGCACTTCTATATGTTTTTCATAGATTTTGTTGTTAAGAAAACATGATTCAATATTTTTATTTATTCATTTTTAAATAAAAACATGCAATAATATTAATATAAAATTTTTAAAATATCTTAATATCTTTTTTATAAGGCTACATCGGAGAAATATATCAGAAATCTATAAAAATTAACAAATGAATCCTTTTAAACTTTTTAAAAATACACACACATACACACACACAAAATAATTAATAACATTAGGTATAAAAATATGTATTTGAATTATTAGTTGGTTACTTTAAAATATTATTTTATTTAAAATAAATTAAATATAGAATATTAAAAATAAATAATAGAAAATAGTTGGTGTTATATGTGTAAATGCAAAATTAATTTTTTAATATAATCAACGATCTCAATACTTTTTTTTATATGCATCATTACATCATTACCATCTCTATATAAATTAAAAAATATGTTTAAAAAAGATTAAGTTGTAAAAAATACATTAAACTTAATAAAGTGCAATAAAAATAATTTAAAATTTTAGTCCAAAAATTAATTATATCAAGAATAAGGTAAAGAAACACGTGAATTATATTATTTATTAAAAACATATTAAAAATTAATACACGAGAGGAAGATAAATCATATTTATTAACAAAAGAAATTTCATAAAAAATAATAAATTTTAATTTGATGAGAATTTTTATTATAAACGATGTCGGTACTCGACGTCGAACGAGACTTTACAAAAAAAAATTATTTTTAGTATTATTAATATTTGGAGAGCTATTTACAAGTTTGAAGTCGTCACCTAGTATTAAGGAACTAGAAACCTAAAAGTAACGCTGATTCAAAGATTCTATGATAAGGAGTTGGTTACGCTTTTGGGAAGATATTTAATCACCCAAAAGTGTCCTTTACGAAGAAAGGTACCATGTCTAATTTAATCCTAAATTTATCTCCTAAAATATTTTATTTATGCCAAATTATTATTTTTTATTTTTAAACTCTTATTTCTTAAAGACAAATTGAATTTTTTAGTTTTGGGCATGACATCTTATTGAAACGACCATCGATCCCCTTCGTTGGTCGACACATCGGTTCAAATATCGGGTCCACTTTAAGCCTTGACACAACTCGTGTGTCGGAGGACATCTTGTTTAAATAATGATTTTTTGTGACATCAGTCCTATCGGATAGGAGACTTTGTTGAAAATTTTAAATATTTTTTTGGTGGTGTCGATCCTTACCGGATATGAGACTTCGCCAAAAAATTTATATTTTATTTATTTATTATTATTATTGTTTTTTTCTAATAACATACAAAAGAAAAAAGAAAATTAAAATATCAAATCTAAATTATTGTAAGAAAACATGATGAGAAATAAAAATAATCAAGCTAAAAAAATGAGAGAAATAGATAGATAAATAAAATCAAAATGTTAAAAGAAATCATTTTAGACCTAATTCATTAACCCACAACTTATTTCTCTTGCCCATTTCTTTTTTCTTTTTCTTTTTATTTTTCTTTTTATTATTATTTTTTTTGGGAGAGGGTGGAACCTCGCCTTCCTTGCTTTTTTTTTCTTTCTATTTTTCTTATTGCGTATCCTTTTTTGGGAGAAGGCTAGACCAAGTCTAGCCTCGCTCATTTTTTTTTCCGGCAAAGGGGCATGGACTGGATCGAACAAAAACGGAAGAATTGAGCCTCGAATTTCAAACAAAAAGGTGGAAAAAATTGTTAAGATGAGATCTTAGCCCCGAGAAACACCAAGCAAAGAAACGAGAGGGACTGATAGATTATGAATCAAACCCGGAAAACCCAAAAAATGCAGTTGCTAAAGATCGAAAAATCAAGCCTTTGCTTTTGATTTTCACTCTCTCTCAACCCAAAATTCTTCTATTTTCCCCCTTTCGTATGTGAATTCACACCCTTTTTATAGCCATAAATTTTCTTGAATTTCTCCTAGAATCAACCATCAAATCCCAAATTTTTCCGCCAACATCTCGGATTTGATTCGGTTAGTTAACCAATAAGGAAAGGAATCGGTGATTGCCTCGATTCTCCGTTGGTATTAATTTCGACTAAGAATCCATAATTAATGTAAAATCAAAACAGAAAATTTGACGGAAGATTTGGTAGATCTTTCAAAAAATTATTAGAGAGGATCAAATTTGGAGTGGACGACAAGTCGTCCCCTCCATTTTAGTCTTGTCGTTCGCTTCGAGATTCCAATTTGGTCCTTATGAATTTCAATTATCAGCAATCCTATCAATTGAGTCCCTATAGGGTGTAATTTTAGTCTTGAATTTTTCAATTGGTTTGATCATACCCTTAATTATCTCAATTACATTGTACTTTAAATACAATCATACCCCTGGATGAATACTTTTTTGTATTTTCTACCTATTTTCCCTTTTCTTTTTGTATTTTTATTATTTTTTCATTTTTTTGGTTTTTCTTTGTAATAAACTCCAACATGAATAAAACGAAGTAGAATAAGAAATAAAAACTAAAATAGGAATAAATTAATAAAAGGTAATAAAATAAAATGAGTAAATTGTGGGTTATTACAAACGATAAAAAACATAAGAGGTTAAAAACATCTTTTAAAAATATGAGGAAAAAAAATATATTTTGAAAAAATATAAGACAAAAATGGATTAAATAAAAAACATGAGATATCAAAATATTTTTAAAAATATTAGTTTTTAAAAATACATTTTGAAAACATAAAGGACCAAAAAGAAATAATGTATAAAATTTGAAAATAATGCCTATTAAAATTATGAAAAAGCCATTGCATAAAATTAAAAAATAACCAAACTATGAATAGTGAAATAATGTAAATGAACAGTAAATGAATAGTATTTTACTGTTTATTTGCCTTACATAAAAAATATAATCGATATATATATATATATATATATATATATATATATATATATATATATATAACATAAAAGGTCAAAAACATCTTTTAAAAATATGAGAAATAAAAAATATATTTTGAAAAAATATGAGATAAAATGGATTAAATAAAAAACATAAGATATCAATTTTTTTTTAAATATTAGGATTTAAAAATACATTTTGAAAACATAAGGGATCAAAAAAATAAATTATAAAATTTGAAAATAATGCCTATTAAAATTAAGAAAAAGCCATTGCATAAAATTAAAAAATAACCAAACTATGAATAATGAAATAAGATAAATTAATCGTAAATAAATAATATTTTATTGTTCTTTTGCCTCGTTTAGGTATATAGAAATTGATATGAGAGAATAGGGATTGCAAAATTATTGTTACATTTTCAACGACACGGGTCTGTAGTCTAGACTGATTCCTATAGGGAAATCACGGGTCTGTAGTCTATGCTGATTCCTATAGCCTATAGGGAAATCATGAACGCATGCAAATGAATCATGTAAACAGTTGGGTTTGTACAATTATGAACCTAAGCATGCGAATGATCGATGCAAATAATTCGAATGATTTTTCTCTTTCTTGACATTAATGGGTTTATTAAACCTTTTGATACATTATATACTTAGTGAATTGGGATCGCACAATTATTGTTGTTTTTTCATACTTAAAAGATCTACTTTATTCATATATAACACAAAACATAATATTTTAACAATTTATTCATAACAATACATATGACAGTTTTATTTAGCAATCCCCAACAGTATTTCGTTTACACCATACCTGTTTAATTACTGTTTTCCAATTGAACGAGGTGGAGCTTATCAATTTTTCTTTTAGTTTCTTTTTTTTATTATTATTTTCACTTCTATTGGGGAATTTCCTTATTTAGTTAAACAAACCCAGAAAAATTATCTAGGTTGAATGAGCAACTATTTGATTATACAATCTGTAATTTTAATTTTTTTAAAAAAACATTAATTGTCTAAGCTTAGATACATAGACATAGACATAGCCGAACCAGGTAAAGCCTGTGTGTCTCTGTGTATGATGGTTTCTTTTTCATTTGCTGCGATTATTGTGTGGTGTGATCCTAACATATTATTAAAGGAATATCTTACATATCAGCTTAAGCTTATAAGTGAGGTCCTATAATATAATTTATATCGATCTCTAACATATTTTCTCAAGTAAACGATCTAACATTTAAGACATAAAACTTACACAGATTTACATTACCTTGTGCTTAATATTTGAGAAATTAGAGATGATGAGACTTGAACTCGGGACCTTAAGATCAATCAAATTTTGATACCATATTAAAGGATCATCTCACTTAAAAACTTAAGTTTATAAACGAGGCTCTGAAATATAATTTATATTAGTATATAATAGAGACAAACCTGCGGTAGGTAGATACTCCAAGCTGATATTGTAAGCTTTTGCCCGGAAACGGCTTGCTCAAAATAATTAGTCACCGCTGTCTCAGGATATCTAACATCGTCAAAGCAAGTCCCATGCTTCAGCCACTCTCTTTTCCAAAAGTCGACATATGCATCATCGAAGAGTGATGGCCATAACCTTAACATATCATTACGGAGGGGGCCTGTAATCTTTACAAAAACAAATAGAATAATTACATGCTTTTAGTTTCTTATTGTTTGCGTTAAATATGAATCAGAAGATCAATGTAATTAGTGTACAGAACCATCAACAGCAAAGCTTCCGCTTTTTGATGTGTAAAGCTTTGCTAAATAAATAGCAAAATGATCGTATCTTTTCAGCAACAAAAGAAATATATAGTAGTACCTTTCTGCCGTCAAATATTGCCGTGGTTTGGCAGTCAATAACAGGAACAACTGTCCCACCCTTCGATTTAACAGGCCAGAGTCCATGAATGCCAAAAGCTGTTTTTGCTCGTCCCGGCTGGCGCGGTTTAGACGTCATACAAGCAGAAATCTGCCACTAATTATTAAAAAGAAAAGAAAAACATAAGATTTTGGTTTGAATACTGTAAGTTTTGGGACTAAAAGATCCAATCAATAGAGATGCTTTTTATTAGAAGGGTATACCTGTAGAACGAAGTCACAGTTGTCGTATTTTTTTTTTTGTTAAGCTGGTGCATTTTTTTATTGGAAAAAAAACAAAGAGAGAGAGCAACATATATTTTAGTAAGTTCAAAAATTTGGCAGTAGAACCGCAAATAATTAAATGAATATTGTAGTATCTGTACCTTAGATTCAGAGATATTATAGTTTCCAAATGCAGTTGCATTTGGAATATGATGGAGCACTGTGAAGAGAAATATAAGTGCTAACCATTTGCCTTCCATCTCTTCTCTTCTCCTCTTGCAAATATACACAAGCAGTTGGTTCCTATATATAGGCAGTGTAAATCTTTAGGGGCATTTGTGTATCTGGTAAAAAAAGAGGTTCCGATGAAGAGATGGAAGAAGGGTTTACCCAATTCGATATCTTTATTATATATATATATATATATATATATATATATATATATATATATATATGTAAACCTCACAAAACAAATATTATTATTCAAGCCTTTGCTTTTTAACTCAAATTTTACTTTACAACAAAATTATTTATTAGGATAGATTAACAATAATATTAATGATATAATTTTATATTTGGGTTTTGCATATATTAAGAACATGCATAATTCGAATTTTTTTTATTGAGATCTTAAGTTTTTTTTTTTGTCAAATTTAATAGTTTTATTTTTATTTTCTTATTGTTTCAAATTCTAATGTTCCACGTAAGTACACATGATAAGTGTTAGAAATAATATAAATCATATCCCGAGCCTCACCTATCGACTTAAGCTTTTGGATGAGATAGTCCATTGACATGGTATCGAGCTTTAATGACCAAACGGTCGCAAGTTCAAATTTTACCACCCTCACTTTCTCTGCTAATTAATTAAGCACAAGGTAATGTGGGTACGTGCAAGTTTCAAGCCCAAAGGGCTTTCACTTGAGTGGATATGTTAAAAGATAATATAAATCATATCTTAGGGTCTTACCTATTAGCTTAAGCTTTTAGGTAAGATGGTTTATTGACAACAAGCACTAACCAATAACAACTTATCACATCACTAATTCAATCACTTACTTGGGTCATCATGATACATGATAAACCGTTATTGGTTAGAATTTGAAACAAAAATAATATAAGAATAGAACTTTTAAATTGAATTAAAAAAATCCAAATTGTATAAGGTCTCAATACATGTAAAACCTTTTTATATTTTTAAAATATCACACAATGATCTATTCTTTTAACTAATTTATTTAAATGTAATTTTGTGAGATTATTATAAAAAAAAAGTAAAGAAAAAAAATCCAGATTGAATAAGAACGTGACGGATGCAAAATACCCCTCACCCAACTCGATCCGACCGGGTGGGCGATTGTTATAGTTGTAACCGATTGGATGCGGATGCATAAAAAAAAAAAAAAACCTCGCTCCGTCTCAACCCATTGACATGCTTATTAACTAAGAGAACGATCGATTTTGAATAATTTAGATAGATGTCGATGGAACTTTCATTAGTCCACTTCTTCTTAATAACCACACAATGGTTGAAACATTAATTTAATAGTCCTATGTTCACATTTCAATTTCAAAATTAATGAATATAGAAAAAATTAGTATTATTATATATATTAAAAAAGTAACGAAGTGAACTGATAATGAATAAAAAAATATTAGGAAGATCTAGTGAGTCGGTACAGGTAAAGTTCACATTTCAAGTTGGAAAGCAATAAATATAGCAACACGTGGTACGTAGATCGGCATTTACACACGGTGTTACGGCATTTTTTGCAACGTATTGTTTTTTCGACAATTTCAAATTCAAAATATGAAATTATTATATAATTTGAACTTAAAAATATAAAAGATTGAATGAATTTAATTTAAATTATCAAATTTTCGTTATTTTTAACGAGTTAATTCTAAGTTTATGGTTACTTAAATTTTTTTTAGTTAAAGTCGAGAGGAACCGTAAAGGCGGATGATATGATAAATTCAACTGCCATCACCCCATGACCATAACCTTCACTATATCCTTCACCTTGCCTTGAGCCTCCTCCTCTTCCTAATCCCCCACCATATCCGGACCACGAACCATAGCCCCCACCTTGACCCGATCCGAGCCACCTCCACGTAGCGCCTTGGTTACCTCCGAATCCCGACGCGACTTGTGATCCAACGTGTGACCCGAGCATATGAACCTACTTCTAAGCTTGCATTTCCGGACCTCGAACTTGAACTAAAGGAAGATGAAGTTGAACTTGAACTTGAACTTGAACTGGAACCTTGTTGGCACCTTAAAATTTAAAAGTTCACGCATCACTCAAATGTGATATCCTTTTAAAGTGATATAGTAAAATTTAAATAAAACAATGTGTTTGATCTTATAACCAAACAAACTCAATGAAGCAACAAGACTTAAATAAAATGGTGCATTTAGGTCTTATAACCAAATAAGCTTGATGAAACAAGAAGACTTACATGAAACGATGTTTTTGGTCTTGCAACCATCCGGATTCGACGAAACGTATGATATAAGAAGACTTAAAAATATGATATCCTTTTACAATGATATAATAAGACTTAAACGAAACGATGCATTTAGGTATTATAACCGTTAAGCCAAACCGACTCGCTTTCTGCAACAACCAAGTAATGGGTGCAACTACAAACTCTTACGAGTAGCGAGTCCATACACGGGATAACTCTCCTCCATGTATAGATGTGATCAAAACTAGATAAACTTACTCTATCATTATCCTAAAGGAGTTCTACACAATCTATGTTTGTACTTGATCGTATAAATAGTTACAAGCAACACAATAAAGGATATCAAAGGAAAACTATTCATCATCTTCTCCACTTGTCTAATTTAATTTGGTATCGAGCCGGAACCCTTCGACATCACTCGTTGTTCCCGTTTCTATCTCCAAACAAACCAATGACTTCCTCAAGTGCAACCTCATCCGACAATGAAAACTCTATCGCATCAAAAACCATTCCACCGAGTCAACTCGCCAACTCCCACCATTTTCTCTCTCTCGAACTCACTCACACAAACTATCTATTACGGCGTGTACAAATGAAGCCCTTCCTCTTTGGCCAAGGCCTTTTCGGCTTCATTGATGGCTCCAATCCTTGTCCTTCACAAAACCTCAATTCCACCATTTCGACCTCTCACAGGCCTCTTGGATCTAGCAAGACCAACCGTTGATGAGCACTCTTATCTCCTCCCTTTCAATCGATGTCCTCCCATTGATCATTGATCGCACTACCTCCTGTGACGTTTGGACGAGTCCTCGAGAGCGCACTCGCATCTCTTTCCAGACACACGGATCATGACCCCGCATCCGTCACTCCAAAATCTTCGCCGACAACACAATGAACTCCGTATCTCGGTTCCTACACCGGCTAAGTCAATCAATGATGAGCTTACCGTAGCAGGACGACCACTCTCTCCTATAGACTTCAATTTATATGTTTTTAAAGGCATCTCTAGTGACTTTAAAGATATCATAACCAACCTCTCTACAAAACCGAACACCGTAAACTTCACCGATCTCCACAGTTTTCTTGTCGACCAAGAATTTTTAAACACTCGAAACTCGTCCGCAACCACGATTGCCCCACCAACATCCGCCTCGTTACCAACTACTCCCATCGCAAACCTCATCCATAAAGATCGTTTCAACAACGATAACCGCAATAGAGGTCGACACTCCCGTGGACGTGGGCGTGGCGGGTTCCCACCACGTTATGGTAATCCTCACTATGTATCCGAAAACGAAACAACCGGCACCCAATCGAACAAAGACAAAAATGCCAGCTCCGTTCATCATGGAATCATACGAGCAGTGCATTGTCCGCAAGGCGGTTTCCTTCTCCTCGGCCATCCGCGAACATCTTAGCTACTTCCCCTATCGCCTCATATGCCCGACCTTGGTGTCCGGACACCGGTGCCTCACACCATGTAACACCGGATCCGTCCGAGCTTCGAGCACATATGAGCCCTACACCGGTCCCGATCAACTTCGGGTTGGTAATGGTGAGTACCTAAAAATTCTTCACATAGGCACTAGTTCTATTTCCACACCCACCAAAACATTACGGTTACTTGATATCTTACATGTCCCCGAAATAACTCGTCTACTCTTTTCGGTAAAAAGACTAGCCCGTGATAATAATCTTTTTTTGAATTTCACCCCTCTACTTTCTATCTCAAGGACCGGGTACACAAGCAACCCCTGCTTTCGGGCCACGGTGATGCCGATCTCTACTCCTTACCACCTCGCTCCACCCGCCCATCTCCCCAAGTTCACTCTGTAAGGGTATCCACTTCGATCCTAGCATTCTCGCCAGGACATCCTCATCATAAAGTCCTAAGTCTTATTCTAAAAAAATTTTGCTCGACAAATTCTAGAACATTACCTACTCCTTGCTTGTTTTGTCCATTAGGAAAAGCAAGTCGTTTATCTCTACCATCTTCAAAAAATATAAGTCTTGGTATTTTAAGCTTAATTTTTAGCGATGTATGGGGACCTTCCCCTACCGCCTCTCATGATGGCCATAAATACTATGTCACCTTTGTTGATCATTTTTCAAAATTTATATGGTTCTATCCCCTGCATAAAAAGTCGATGTGTTTGACTCGTTTGTGACCTTTCAAAAAATGGTTGAACGCCAATTTAACGATAAAATCAAACAAGTACAAACGGATCAGGGTGGAGAATTTCAAAGCCTAACAAAACTTTTTAAATCACTTGGCATCATACACCACCTAATGTGCCCTCATACCCACGAACAAAACGGAACCGTTGAAAGATGACATCGTCACATTGTGAAACCGAGCTCACCCTGTTAGGTGAAGCTAATGTCCCAAAACATTTTTGGCATTTTGCTTTTGACACGATTGTCTTCTTGATCAATAGAATGCCTTCCCTCGCCAATGATAATATTTTACCTTTTGAAAAAGCCTTAAAAAAAAAACCCGATTATTCGTTTTTAAAAGTTTTTGGCGATCTATGCTTCCCTTTTTACGTCCCTACAACGGACATAAAATGGACTTTAGAACAACCCCATGCATATTTCTTAGATATAGTCCTTCCCACCTAGGCTATCGTTGTTTTGATAATAAAACAAATCGCCTCTACATTGCTCGCCATGTACGGTTTATCGAATCCATATTCCCTTTGCAGAGTCAACTACAAAATCCTCTAAAATCTCGCCTACCCCATCCATCCCATGGGCAAGTCTACCCGTTATTCATCCTCTATATCCTGCTAGCACCTCTCCCTTCACTTTTGCGAGTCGGTATCACCGTGCCTCGTCAAATGGGTCCCCCAAACAACGACGAAAATCAGCTCGACTCACATCCCACACCGAACAAAAGCGGCCTCGTCCGTCGCCACAACAACGAACAATTCCCACCCACAAATTTAATACATAACCAACACCATCAGCCCAAAACCCATAACCCATTACCCCTTCACTTACACCGAACAACACACCAAGCCCAAACCACCGACCACGGGCTCAACCCCCTCTACCAACCCAACTCATCTCCATCCTCAACCCCCGGCCATCTTATACCTAGTAATTCAATAAATATATCACACATTCCGTTCCCTCACCAAAAACGAGCACCAACGAATCGCTACCCCCAAGCTCACCCAAATATCACCACCCCGGATCGCCCACGGACAGCCCTTCCCCTCACAACTCACCAACCGCCTATCCTCTCTCCTCACGCCGACGGCCCCACCTCCTCCCCATCGAGGCGTGTGCTGCTCGCCTCCTCACGAGCTACCCACAAACCATTGGAAACGTCTACTGCTCGCCTCCCTACGGATCGGCTCTTACACCCAACCCATTCCCAAATAGATCAATCAAACTCTAACCCAAACCACGAAACTCACAACCCCAACTCACCGATCAACCCTCCCTCCTCACCCAACCTTAACCTTCTACTAGATCTCGGTGCCTATAACTTGCACACATATACTACGGTACCCCAAATCACCCACCCCCTGCTCCTTCACGGACACATCATATGAAGCTTCGCCCGAAGGGTCATCCAAGCCTACCCGAGGTCAATTTGGCGGCCTCTACATCGTCGATTCCAAAATCACCTAGTTGTTTCACCGAAGCTAAGAACTTCTCGAGCATGGCGATCTGCAATGGCTAAGGAAATCTCAACCTTCCTACAAACCGGTACTTGGTCTCTTGTCCCAGCCGCACCGGATATGAACATTATTGGAAATAAGTGGGTTTTCAAGACCAAGAAGCATGCTGATGGTACAATCGAAAGATACAAAACACGCCTAGTAGCTAAGGGATACCAACAACTTGAAGGCATTGACTACGGTGAAACTTTCAGCCCGATGGTGAAGCCATCTACAATCGAGTGTGTCTTGACTATAGCAACCTCTCATGGCTGGCCGATTAGGCAACTTGATGTGCACAATGCCTTCTTAAATGGCAGCCTTAGTGAGACAAGTGTACATAACCCAACCGAGTACGGTTTGTTGATAAATAGCTTCCACACCATGTTTGTAAGTTACACCGATCCTTGTACGGGTTGAAACGGTCGCAAGAGCATGGTTCTCCTGTCTCCAACGGTTCCTACATGAGTTTGGGTTTGCTAGCTCCAAGTCCGATTCGTCTCTATTTGTTTATCGGCACCAAGGTCACAAATTGTTCTTACTTGTATACGTGGATGATATACGGTAACGAGAAACAATTTACCTTCCTACAATCGGTGATAAGCTGCTTTGGATGTAAAATTTGCCACTAGAGATCTTGGCCAACATAACTATTTTTTGGGTGTGGAAGTTATCACTACTGCTTAACGGACTCTTCCTCTCACGACAAAAGTATATCACCGATCTCTTACGGAACCGGGGTATGACTTCGTCGTCTAGTCTCCACTCCAATGCCCACCACTGCAAAGTTAACCAAAATAGGAAGTGACACCTTCTCCGACCCAACACTATATTGTCAAGTAGTTGGAGCTTTACGGTATGCAACCTTAACCGGGCCGGATATCTCATATGCCGTAAACAAGGTCCGCCAGTTCATGCATAACCCACTTACGAACCATTGGGTTGCGGTGAAGCGCATACTTCGATACCTTAAGCACACACCCAATCTCGGTCTCCACATCCGTCAATCAAACCATCTCACCCTGTTAGGTTTC